GAGTAACCTACTTTGTGTGTGAATGAATGGCAGAACAGGAACAAAGAGAGATGCTAAATAATCAAATGTTATTGAAAGCAACAAAACATGAGAAGTTGTGGAGAGCCATGAGTTTGTGTGAGCGGACGACAGAACAAATACAAAGAGGAATAGACAAGGATCAAAAAGTCAGAAAAAGAGACAAAGTTGTGGAGAGCCATGATTAAGCACATCCTGAAAGGACATGACACATAACTCGTGACATGAGTCAAAACCACATAGCAAAAAGAATGTAGGAAATTATATAATATTAATTTTAGAGATGTGTTTGGCAATTTTTTTTTACCCTGCAGAAACATTGAAAGGATTTAGTCAACCTATATGTCAAAAATTTAATTCCCTCTAATTGTTGGAAAATATTTGAATATCAAATTTAATTGAAAAACGGAAAAAAGCAGTTGTCAGAACTGAATGCAAGCAAAGCATTGCATATAATTTTACGATAGAAAGAATTAATGATGGAGAAGATGCACATATAGGCATAGTACACTTTGACGTGGTTAGCAGTCTTGTCTCACTATATCAATTATAACTGAATAGTGAGTCCATGCTTCTGGCTTTGTGCCACATCTAAGCTACACTTAGAAAATCACTCTGTAGACATAGAGCATGAAGTGTGTATAGTATACCATTTGCAACAATATCTCTTTTAAATTCTATAATTACTGGAATTGCCAAAGATGCATTCCAAAAGCTAAGTAGAGTAGTGAGAAACAAAGAAACAATTACTGAATTGTTCCTGCTGTTTAAATATAAGTTTTCTTTTCATTCTCTCCAAAATCTTGTTGGGGCTCACATGTTTGGCCTATAGTATTGTCAGCATCTTTCTGTAGAACCACATTTCTTTTGCTTCAAGTCTCTTCTTCATCTGTGAGGAGATTGTCCAGCATTCACTGCCATATAGGAATACTGATATTACATATTTTTACTCTTTTTTTTTTTTTTTTTTTTTTTTTTTTTTTTAATTAATTTTTTGTTTCTTCATAATTTGCTTAGCTTTTGGAAGGCATCTTTGGCAATTCCAATTAGCCTTTAAATATCTTTTTTGTGATGTAGTGTAATGGATAACAGCTAGGAATGAAAAATTGGAGAGCTGAGTTCAAATTCCAGTTAGGTTCTTTACATTCACTATGGGTAAATACTCTTGGGGAAGGTATGAAGCTATCTCTTCTCCCCTAAGCTATGGCTTGAATAGCTAGACAGACTTGGTTCTATAGCCTTGATTGGCAACCAGCCCAGATTGCCCAAGTGTGCACTGCATATGGAGTTTAACTAAATGACTGAGGACATCTGCAAGGTTTGCTGTGACGGATAACTGCTAAGAATTGGAAATCAGAGAGCCAAGTTCAAAGTCTGGTTGGTTTTGTTACACACAAGTACCTGGGAAAGTTACAAATCTACCTCTTCTACATACTCAGTTATGGTTTAATTGCAGAGCTTTTATCCATTAATCATTATTATCTCAAAAAAACAATTCTTCTGCTCTAAAAATACTTTTTGGCTTTAAATAACCTGCAAAAGATTGATAAGCTGTAAAAAAAAAAACAAATCATTCAATCAAAACCCAGATGATGTTAATCTCTATACTGAGCCTACTGAGGATGTTATCATAACTAGTCATGTGTTTATTTCAGTTTATTTATTTTCCAAAATTGTTCTCTGTCTCCAGTGTTGTTCACTGTTATATTTGCTACATTTCACGGGCTTGATAACAGCTCTTTTTTACTTCATACATGGTCTGCCATACTTGATTTTTATGTCTCTCCTCTCACTGGATTACAGCCTTTCGATATTCTTCCCACTTTACCTTTCAGCCTCACCCATGTATTCCTTGCCACAATTGCATAAGATGGCATACGCTCAGTTTTGGTTGTGTTCTTGTTTATTTAAGAGGTGGGGCGCATTTTCTGGGGGGAAATATCTCTGAAAGGTCAAACTGCTTTGGAATACTGCCCTGTATTACCTGCAAATTCTTCAATTCTTTTCTGGCACATTGCATAATTATGGTCAGCCGTCGCAAAATGAAAACGATCTGCCTTCATGGATTGAATAAAATGTTCGGTGCAAAAATTCCAAGAAAGCTATAGAATCTGACAGTCACTTCAAGTCGGCCAGCGAGTCATCGTCTTCTTCGATGTGCTGTGTCCCTTCAGGATGTTGATGATCATGGCTCTCCACAATTTCCTGTCCTTTGTAGCTCTTAATAAATTTTATCTTTTTGTAATCCCTCTTAAACCTTTTTCTACCAACTTTTTACACAAACTTGTTATTCTTCTTCTATGTACCATGTTCCTTTAGGATATTGACAATCATGATGTTGATGATCATGGCTCTCCACAATTTCCTCTCCTTTGTAGCTTTGAAGAAATTTTGTCCTTTTTTATCTCTCTTAAACTCTGCTCTGTCATCTATTTACTCAAGGTGGTAGTTCTTTTATGTGCCATGTCCCTTCAGGGTGTCGCCGATCATGGCTCTCCACAATTTCCAGTCCTTTGTATCTCTTAATAGATTTTGTCTTTTCGTTATCTCTCCTAAACTCTGTTTTGCTATTCATTTACTGTATTTTCTTCTGTATAATACAGACTTGAGTATAATACATGTTTTTTTTTTAGGCTAAAGACTGGGAATAAATGATATCCTTGAGTATAATACCATCTTGTAGTGTAGCTGTTCCAGTATATATTTAAAGACGTTCAATTATGGTGATTCCCAAAGAACAAATTTTGTCGACATATCAAATGCTTAAATGCTTTCTTTTGTTAGCAGTTCCTATCAACATCTGCCTACTTAGTGATTTATTATCTATTGTGCTAACGGAATATGTTTGCAATCGTGATATTTCAAATAAGAATTTCTGAAAACATTTCTTTCTATAATACAACCTTTTAATTTTCGTTTAAAATTTCTTGTATTATGCACAAGAAAATATAGTACCCAAGCTCACGAGGTAGGTTATACTTTGTTTTCCTATGTCTCACTTGCCTTCAATCCTTCTCCAAGTGACAAATTTTCCAAACCCTCCGTTCTCATTATGTACCCTAGAAAATTCAACAATCTCTTCCTGATGTTAAGAATAAGTGTCCTTTTTGTTTCCATTTTCTCCACAACTTTGTTGTTGTTCACATATTCAGTCCATGGTATTCTCTGCATCCTTCTGTAAATTCACATTTATTTTGCTTCAAATCTCTTCTTCATCTGTGCATTATTGTTCATCATTCGCTGCTATATAGGAACACTGATATTACATAAGAATTCAGTACTCTTCTTTTTTTTCAGTACTGAATTTTTTGTTTCTTAATACTTAACTTTTGGAAGGCACCTTTCACTGTCGGAATGCATCTTCGGATTTCAATGCCACACTTTCTGTCCTCTGCAGTTGATAGAGTAAATTCCTATAAGTTTTTTTTTCCAAAATAGAAAACTGTCTTCCCTGACGAACCAAACAAATCAAAAAATATATTATTCTACCCACGAACTCAATCACAACTACAACTGGAAAGAATTTATCAAAGCACAGCATAAAATTTGTAACAATTACATCTAAAAAAAAAAAAATAAAAGACTTCAAAACAAAACAAGCTAAAACTTCAAGGAAGAATTTACTCTATCAACTGCAAGGATTGCCAGAAATAATATATTGGAGAATTGCTAGTTAACTACAGTAAATTTACGTCCAGGTTCTTAAAATGTTTCACCATTCTTGGCAGATGTTCTGTTATCACAATGTGGGATATTTAAAAAGAAAAATGATTGAAAGAAAAAAAAATAACATAGATGGATTAGGCTAGATTACGTAAATTATTTCAAAAAATTCTTTGAAAAAATTTTGAAACTAACAGCATCTCTCATTCATGTGCATGTACAGTCACAACAACATCAACAAACTCAGTCCAATGAAGTCCTAATGGATGAAACACATCACAAATAAACTTTTTCCATTTTGTCTTTATATATATATATATAAAGCAAATATATGGATATAGATCTGACAGTATGAAGAAAAATATACTGAAAAAACAAACAAAAATCCTAATATGTGATTATGCTGTTTTAATGTCAATGTCAGACGTTTCAGTCTATGTCCTGAAGATAGTCTATTAGACCAAAATGTCCGATGTTGACATTAAACATTAAAACAGCATAATCGCATATTAGGATTTTTGTTTGTTTTTTCAGTATATTTTTCTTTCACACACACACACACACACACACACACACACACATATATATATGTGTGTGTGTAATCATTTCACCCCAAGCAAGGTGATAAAGCCAGTAAGATGTAAAGGGTTTACTGAGAATGATAGAAACATAGAAAAAAGCAAAAAAGAAAAGCAAATGAGAAAATAACGTTGGACATTATATTTAAATTTCTGATGATCATAGTTGATAGGGAAGCAAGAAGTTGGATGAGAGAAGAAATTATTAGAATAGAACTTATGGTTAAAATAATCAATTTCAACAGCGAAATAATGAGACCTACCTGTGCTGAAATTTGCATAGTCTAGATACCAGATATGAAATCTCATCAGAGCAGCAACCATGGGATTATTTATAGAAAAGGCACATGGAAGCTGTACTACAGTGGTGGAAAAGTGAATGCAATCAAGTTGCCAGGTCTGATTGCAGATTCTTCTTTGGATGTTATCAAGATATACATGCACAAAAACACACTCACCATTTTAGCTGTGATATACTAATTGTTTTTTTTACTTAATGGCTCTATAAGTTATTTAATGCCAGAATCTTAATATTTTGTATGCAATTTTGAGATAATAATGGTTTTAGTGATACATGCCTTATTAATTAACCCATTAGTGGGGGGGAGAAAAGGTTGATTCATATCTTTCCTAAGTGTATTTGCATGTAAATGAATATGACGAACCCAACATGAATTGCAACTTGGCTCTTCAATTAACAATTCCAGGTTATTATCCATTACACCACCCGCACATCCAATCTTACAGCACCTGGAATTCCCAAGTGATCACCCATCTAGATACTAACTAGAGTCAATGTTGCTTAACTTAGGTGATCATACAGGAACCAGTGTTTCACAGATGCCAGCTGTCTGCAAGAATCATTTGGTAACCAGCACTGTGTCACATACTCAAAACATTGTCAGTAGCAGCAGCCGGAGATAATAAGAGCAGCAATTTGAAGACAAAACCATAACTTTTGTCTCAGTTTAGAAGTTAACTAGATCTAGGCAAATAGGTTTGAATACAATGAATGATAATGAGAAAAGTGTTTGTCATGGCTCTCCTCTATAATTACTGTAAAGCCTTGTTATACTGGAGCGATGTTGCTGATGAAGCAATGATACAGGTCATGGTGAAGAAGGATTAACATTCTGCAATCATACCATATAATAATTATCAATGTGTATTTATATATGTCCTGTCCCATCTGAGAGTCTAATAAGACAGGCTGAAATAAAAGCATGACAGTGAAAGGCACTTAACATCCTGTAACTATATTTTTTTGTGTCTGATACTAAAGAGATATTGTGCTAATACTCTTTCATAGTGTAAATTACCGTATCAGTTTGAGAAGAAAGGTTTTATGCACCAGACATTTATTATGGTTTGGTCTGGTTTGTTTAACAGCATATCGGTTACTTATAGGTCATTTAATGCTTAAATTTAATTTTCTTAGGTGGTATCTAAAACAGAGAAAAGAGTACTGAATAGCTACGTAGTATCAATCCTCCTCTTTGGCAGTAAATGTGTTATACTGGAACACACCTATTCTATAGTTAATAGACTCTCTCACCTATAATAAGTAGGAGTAGTAGTAGCAGTCGCTCAGAGAGTTGGTCAGTCAGTCGATGCCGGACGACCGTTAGTAGGATATTAAAGTATCAGCCACCACAACTAGATTGCTGCGTCATTAACTATTATATCAAGTTCCTAACATTTTGAACATTGAACCTATTTAAGGACCGACTTAGTGAAATACAAGCCTCCACTGTGAAACTGCTCTGTAACAACTCGGCGACTAGGGATTCGTACTCATACGGAGGAAGAAAAACTTTTCATTCACTCTATAACAAAATGCTGGACAGTTTCCTCACAGATGAAGAGAAGACTTGAGGTGACTGAGATGTGATTCTACATTAGGAGGCTGAGAATACCATGGACTGAACATATATGAGCAATACAGAAGTTTTAAGGAAAAAGACACTTAAAAGAAAAGAGTGCTGACCTTCTATGTAATATCAATTGTCCTATATGTCAGTGAATGTCGGGCAATTTTTGTACAGATGAAAAAAAGACATGAAGCAATAGAAATATGGTTTACAGAAGGAGGCTCAGAATACTATGGACGGAACATATAAACAATGAGGAAGTTTTAAGAAAAATGGGAATGAGAAGGGCGATTAGAAAAATAGAATTTAAATTTCTGGGAGGCTCAATGAGAAAAGTGGGCTTGGAAAATTTGACATTCACAAGAAATGAGGAACTGAGGGAAATAGCAAGTAATGTGCATAATGATCTTGTGGAAGGAAACATTGCTCAGAATTACAGAAAATAGGAAGTTGTGGAGATTCATGATCACCTTGATCATCAAAGGACACAGCACAGAAAAGAAGACATTAATGACAACTTGAAAATTGTTATTTGGGTTATAAACTGGACATTTTTTAACATTTTTTTTTCAAAGGCCAAATTATTGTTAATTGATATTCTATTTTTAAATAACATCTTTTATTGATTATTGAGTCAAAAGATGAATTTAATTTCATTACTTTTTACAGTATTTTAATATTTTTTTTTTTTTTTAGAGAGAGAGAGAAAACTGCAATTAATGATTTTTTTTTTATATTTAAAAAAAAAAAATATTGTGAGTTAATGATTTTATAATTTCTGTCTGAATGTCTGGGATAAGGAGTTATCATTATTTCTATTTTGACTATTGCCCTCATCTTTATTATTGTCATCACAGTGTTTCGGCCAATGTGCCCTCCAGCCTTCTTCAGGTGCTTATCAATCTGGGTAACCATCAGGGATTTTTGAAATGAAACTTCTATTTAATCTCTGGGGATAGATTGTTCTGATCTTGCTGGCCAGATCTAGGGATATCTCGTTTTCTTTATTTAGAACTGCATTACCCAGCCTAGGAATAGAACTCTTGATTGCTATATTACCAAATTCAGTTCCCTAAGCTATGAGGATCCCCTAAGTAGACCTAGCATAGAAATAAAAATGATATGAGAGCCATTAGTAAATAAAGAGAAATGATAGCAAGGCTTCAGAAACTGAGAAAAGAGAAGTTGTGGTGAGTGCAGTCAAGCATGATGAGCCACAGCAGTCAGATGAGGTTTAAGGCTTCAATTTATACACTCAGGATTGTCCCATGAGACAGTAGCTTAAAGCATTAGCTTGTGAATTTGGTGATATAGCAATTATGAGTCCAGTCCCTGAATTAAGTTGTACAGGTGTAGATTCAGTGGAAAAGAACAAGCAATAACTGACCACAACTAAGAATAAGAAAAGATATGTGCAGAAGTAGACAACATAATGAGAATAATCTATTCTTGAAGATGAAATAGAAGGTTCAGTTTGAAATTACCTGAAAGTTAGCTGGATCAACAAACACCTGATGAAGGTCAAAGGGCACAATGGCCAAAATTTTGTGATCAGAACAATAGTACAAAGGGAAATAATATTTTTATACTTCATGTATTTATTGCCATTTCGCCCAAATACTAGTATTTTAAAATTTGTGGTAAATACATAAAAAGGAACTGGGCCATATAGGGAATGTGTATTATCTATCTAAGAGTTTGTTTCTTAAATATTCCTGCAGATATGTGGGATCTTGTTTACTATCAAATTCATCATAGACAAAGTCTGATTAAAAAGTATCGGGACTGGTGCAATAAAAAGAAAACTACAATGCATATCAATTTGGCATTTAATCTCCTTCAAAGTGGTCCCCTTCTGAAGCCACACACTTCATCCAGCATCATTTCCATGGATAGAAGCATTACTGAAACTCATTTTTTGAGATAGTGTTGTAGAGTAGTTTTCACAGTGGAGGCTTGTATTTCGCTAAGTCGGTCCTAAAAGGGTCCGGCGTACAAAACGTTAGGAACTTGAAATAAGAGTTAATGACGCAGCAATCTAGTTGTGATGGTTGATACTTCAATGTCCGACATCGACTGACTCACTCGACTCCACTGAGCCCAACTGGCGACCGCCACTATTACTACTACTACTTATTATGTGTGGGAGAGTTTATTAATAATAGAATAGGTATGTTCAGGTATAACAGATAGCTAGCAACTGCCCTGTAGCACTCTCTTTGATTTCTTCAACATCTTTTTTGAAAGAGGAAAATGTAGTAAGGGCAAGATCTTGGGAATATGGTGGCTATAAGACCTTGGGAATGTTGTGCTTGGCCAAAAACTACTGCTCAAGACATGGTCACTGATGGAACCTCTGTGGTATGGTGAGATGACCGCACTTTAAGCAACAAAAGTGAGTGAGAAAATAATAATGTAGTGTATGAGAGAGTGCAAGGTCACTCTGTGCCAAGAAACTTTACTTTAGTTCCATTATCATTGAAACAATCCCAATACATTTTAGTCAGACCCTCCTAACTTGAAGCTAGTTCATATGAATGCTGAACTGAGTAAGAATGTAAATTGTACATTTGGGGATGATGATGATGATGATATTGTTAATGAATAGACAGTATTATTTTGCTTTGAATAATTTGTAGACAGAGAGTTGTCAGGTGAAGCCATCTATTAATAATGAAAATTTGAAGGCGTTGGTAGAAAATGATCCCAAAACTTCTGTTAGAGAACTGAGTGAGCTTCAGTCAGTCGAGTTGAGCCATTTCATTGTTTATGATCGGTTGTCATTTCTAAAGTTGGATTCAATTTTCTACTGATGTCTCCACCTAAACGCTGAAATTTTATTTAGTACTTGTTTATTTTTCTGCAATAAGAGTAGATAGGTTTGCTTATCATCCAGTTCACACCCCTCCCTGGTCTTTTGAACAGGAGTACAGGTTTATCCCTTGTCCCCTGTTTAGAATCAGGTTTCTGGTTCTTTCTAAAGATTTTTCATTCTTTTTCACCTCCAGTAGCTCCTTGTGACTCAGTGGTATTATCACTTTGCCTGGGGTCTTCAAAAAAAAAAAAAAAAAAAAAAAAAGAAAAAAAATGCACTTCTGATGAAAACTGAACATGTAGAATAACTAAAGAAATTTTGAGAAACATCCATTGAAACGGTAATATTATCTGCTGCCTTCTAAGAAAACATTTCGCATTCAATGACTGTGCAACCAGTACTGCTTTTGGTTGAAATTTATAAAATGTTTCTTCTAAAACAATTGTCAGGAAAATATGCTTCTCAAGTCCATTAGTTATTATTGATCTTTCCAGCATTGGTGGGAGTTTCCTTCCTGATCTTTTATTTGTAGTAGTGTGGAATTGAATGATTTTATCTGAAAAATTTTTGGTAGGTATTTGATAGAACAAGACATTTCACATATTGCAGCTTCCTTCAAAGTGGCCAGAACAATGGACATAACATCTTGTAGATAAACTTGTAATGACATGAAAAACCAAAAAAAACAAAAAAATGAAACCGTGCTTAGTTTAGGGAAGAAAAAAAGGATCAGATTATTATCCAGAAATGATATGAGTAATGAAGATGAAGAATTTATTGTACCTTAATTCTTCATCCAACCTTTACTCTAATGGATTAACTTTTTTTCTTTTTTTTTTCCCATAAAAATCAATTCCTTAGTAAAAGAATGTTTTCTGTTCAGGATCATATTCAATGAATTTAATTTCTGAATGAAGACTTTTCTTTAGAAAGGGAGTTGGTGACAAGGTTCTGCCAAGGGAAAAAAGAACTGTATTTAGACTCAAATGATGTACTTTGGATTGAATAAATAAAATCTGTTCTGTGAATTTAAAAAAAAGAAAAATGCATTCTGTTCAAATAAATCAGTTTAACAACATGATAGAAATGCAAAAAGACTTTGTGAGATTGGAGATTAAGATTTTTCTAAGCTAGGAGTTGACTGTTGATTTCTGAATA